AGTGGCTTTAGCTTCTTAGTGCTGTGCTTTAACACGCTGCACCACCGGGGAGGGCCCTCTTTATTTTACTTTTTAAGCAATTGCTTCAAGAGTACTATTATAGGTATCTAATAAAGTGTTGAAGTCTTACTAGTATATCAGTGACTTTGCCTACCCTCCTTTAAATTACACTTGTCTATGTAGGACATTACACGTGTTGACCAAGAGACAGAATTCTGGTTGAGTTACAGCAGCCCGGTGTGTCACAGCATAAGTGGTGCAGCTTGCATGTTACAGCAAATGTTTATTGCAGGCTTCAGACTGGTCCAGGGGATACAGCTTCTGAACTGAACACAGAGCTAAGGAGCAGGAACAGTGCTTATATAAGCAAAATGGACCAGGTCTGCTTAATGCAAATGAGGTTTTCAATCAGTACAGTTCTCACGGATAGAGTTTGTTTAACAGCTGTTGATGTGGTTTCAATTCTGTTATGGACCTGTCTGCACCCCGACATGCCCAGGTATCTGAATGTGCCTGGGACCTGCCCCTCAATAGTTTCTCTGCTCTATATGATTGAAACCTAGGCTTGGGATGGCTCCTAGTTAATTTTTTATGTTTAATTTTATTTATCATATACACTGAAACCACTCTCAGTAGTCATGCATATTTAAAAGAACTTAAAGGAAAAACAGTCTGTACATTTACCAAATTAGTTACCGTTTCTTGAATTCTCCCATCATCCTTGACTTTCCAGGTTTCCCTCTGGCATCATTTCCTTTGTGTTGAAAAATCTTCCATTGGTGCTTCTTCTAGGTTTCCTGGGAGCCAATTCTGAGAGAATTTCTCTACTCCTGCGAATTAATTTGCTTTAATTCTTGAACGATATTTCTGCTGATAGAGAATTATGTGTTGACACTTGTTTTCTTTTGACACTTTAAATATGTCATCGAGTGCCTTCTGACCTCCATAATTACTGAGGATAAATCTATGGTTTACATGTTTTCTCTACATGTAATGTTATCATTTCCTTCAGGCTAATTCCAAGATTGTTTCTTTATCTTTAGCCTTCAAAAGTTTAATTATACATGTGGATGTGGGTTTCCTTCAATTTTTTCCCCGGGGCGTGAGGGGTGGGGGGTCCCTGAGCTTCTCAAATCTTTAAATGTGTTTGGAAAAATCTGGGATGGGGTTCAGTCATAAATTCTTTTTTTTTTTTTAAGATTTATTTATTTGTGCATACAGAACTGGGGTACAGGCCAGAGGCTCAGGGGTGGCGAGAGGCTTCACCAGAGACAGAGT